TTGACTAAATACGTAAAAATTACGGCAATGTTTAAATTATCTTAGATAGAAATTCATAAAAGTTTTTCTTTTTAATTTTAAGATTTGAGAATTTAACTCAAGGCTCATAATATATTTTTACAATAGCAGTTGAAAAATAAAATAAATGCATAGTCACATTTTTTTTTTACAAGCATTTAAATTTAAATTTTGACAACACACGTAAAAATGACGAAAATTCGCAAATTATTTTAAGCTAGAAATTCATAAAAAATGTTCTTTTTAAATCTAGGATTTGAAAATTTTTAATAATCTATAATATATCCTAGACAGATAAACCGTCTCCGTTCAGAATCGTTTTTCGTATACAATGATACCTATCATTGCATTCAAATTTAACCTACCTTAGTCAGAGGTCCACCCCACCCCCAATGTACAGCAGAGCGCGCGATACCCACTTACCCGCTTTTTTTAATTGGATTTGTATTTTTTTGTACACCGTTTTTTTGTCGTTTCTTTAGCGGTACTCCTATAGTTGAATTTGGGCTAACTTTGTTTCATCAGCTGCCACTTCTAACCTTATTTTTTTTATAATAGTCCAAATTGTTCATAGCCGTCCCAAGGGGGGGGGGCAAATGGGGCAAGTGCCCTAGGGCGTCAAAAGTATTATGAACTTAGGGGGCGTCATAAAATGAATAATAAAAAGACAATTTGGTGTTTTTATTTTAGATATTAATATTTTCTTTTTATATTGTAATATCGAAGATAAGTACCTATCAAATATTGTAAATTAAAGGGTAAATATCATATTATATGCCTTCAATAATATATAATTATCTTATCTGTGGACACTGGACTGTCCGACCGTGATTGACTGTGAATCATGATTATTAATATTAATAATATTAGTTTTTTACTCAAAGATATGATATTATGTTTTATGTACACTGTATATGTATTAATATCACTATAACGTCTATAACTATATGTATAGTTGTCATTGATTAATGATTATACTAGTATTCAATAATAAACTCATTATCAATTTTACCCACTTGTAAAAATAAATCGGGTTACAGTGGTTCGACTGAATTCTATAAATAAACATCGCTTATTCACTTGTACAAAATGTAGAATCTACAACACTTCAAATGACTTTCCCTAATGTTGAAATTGCCTTTAAAATTTTTGTTTGTATGCCATGCTCTAACGCGAGTGATGAAAGACCTTTATCTGTACTCAAGAGAGTTAAGAATTATTTACATTCATCTTTGGCAAATGAAAAAACATCGGCATTATCTATTTTAACTTTAAGCATTGAAGATGAAGTGGTCCGAAGCATAGATTGGAATGATATTGTGGAAAAGTTTGCAAAACTTAAAGCTAGGAAAAAATCTTTTTTATAACCCAAATAAGTAATAAGTTTATACATAATGTTCAAATATTGTAAATATTGTAAAATATTATATTATCTACCTGTTATAAAGTTATTAAAACATTTAAAATTATTAAAATTAATTATTTGTTCTTATAAATATAAAAGGT